TCTATGTTTCAGATTGCTTCAATAGTCCTAAACCACGAAAGCGATTTTTCCTTCTCTAGTACAGGATCCAGTCTAGCATTATGTAACACATTTAATTGTCATGTTTCTCTAGTCTCCTTTTGTCTGGAACATTTTTATAGCTACCTTTTGCCTTCCAGACACTGACATTTTAAAAGAATGCAGTCTTTCTTTTTTAAAAGAATATTCTCCACTTTCTACTTGTTGGATATTTCTTTATGATTAAATCCAGGCAGTGCATTTTGGGTTGGGATAAGACATTGCTAGAAATGTGTCCTGTTCGGAGTGTCACTTTTGGAGGCATGTGCACATTCCACAATTTGGACTTAAAAAAACGGTGGTGGGTCTCAGGACGGGGCGTCTCATGCCTGGATCCCGGACAGCCGCCATGGGCACAGCCGCCATGTGCTGAGCTGTCCCCGGGCCTGCTGGGTTCCAGGGGCCGCTTCCTTCGGGGTGAGTAGACCGAGGGGAAGGCCTCCGGGACTGGGCAGGCCCGGGACCCACCCGCCGCCCTCATGGGGCGGTGAATGGGATTTGGAGGGGGGGGGGCGACCTTGGGCCTGGGTTATTTAAACCTCCAGCAGCCTCCTGGCAGCTGGTGGGTCTCAGGACGGGGCGTCTCATGCCTGGATCCCGGACAGCCGCCATGGGCACAGCCGCCATGTGCTGAGCTGTCCCCGGGCGGCCAGTGCGCCATTTGGTGCCAGGCTCTGCCTGCTGGCTGCCCGGCCGGGGAGCTCTGGGGATTTGGTTCTTTGAGTTGCTGCTTAATTAGCTCCAGGTTGAACCCATTGTGCTTCTTGGACCTGAAACAGGCAGTAACTCTTCCTTAGCAAAACTTTTAATCACTAATAATTCTGAGCACCAAATACCAGTCATGCAGAAGCTAGGGCTTGGGGCTTGTCCTGCAAAAGTAGCTCCAACAGTTGGCCAATGTGTCAACTGGTAATGGAACAGAGTAGATTAGGCAGAACTGAGCAAACCTTAGCCCACAAGTAAAACTAGAAACCAGGAGGGAGCAAAGGTCATGCCGAGCTAGGCTCTTGTACCTGCTGGTCTGTGGGAGCCAGGGATGCTAAGCCACAGTGTCTAAGGCAGAGGTCGGGACAGGTGAGGAGCTGTGCCAAGCTGAGTCAGAGCATCCATTGGCAGGCAAGTGATCTATGGCTGGGAACAGGCCCGGTTGGGGAGCTAAGGGGACAACCCTAGCTGGGTTGAGGTTCCCACCAAGAGGCACATGGCCTGGAATGGGGGCTGCGTTCTGATCTGGAAACAGTTGTAGTCTCCCTTGGCACAAGTGTGGACTGGGACTGGATGCACCAAACCACGCTGGACCCCGACTCCCCCTGGTGTTCTGGAGGACCAGGGCAGATGTGGGATGGACTAGGCTAGGTCTCAAACCCCTACTGAGCCATGTGTGAGCCATATGTGGGTATGGACAAACCATGGCTGGGCTGGAACATCCAACAGCAAGAACCAGATTGGGTGGAAGGCCAGTCAGGAAAAGCCACAGTTCCTTATTCCTGGAGGTGGACTGAGTAGGGTTGGCTCATGGACCCACTGGTAAGCATGAAACCTGGCATTGGGAGAGGTTCTGATGGAGGAGCCTGGGCAACTCCTCTGGCAGGACACAGACCCGGCAGGTAAACGCAAGAAACATGATAGGAAACAGCCCAGAAAAGGCCATGGAAAGCTACCCACTGGCATACAATTGGCTGACGTGGGGGCAAGACCAGGCTGAATCTGTCCACGTCATCCACTGGCAAATCCAGGCACCAGTGTGGGTCGACCTAGGGTCGGTCGCAACAAAGACTAGTGCACATTATGGAATGCCGAGGTGAGGTTGCCTGTACTGGAAGGGACCGCAGCGCCCTACCAGCCTGAGAACAAGAAAGGAAGTGGGCAGAGCCAGCAGGGGAATAAGGGAGGGTTCCTTTGCAGGACAGCTACTTCCGCAGGAGAGCATGGGCTGGGATGGGGGCAGACCAGACTAGGCAGAGCTACCACACCTGTGCGCCTCACACAAACTAGATCAGGGAAAAGCCGGGCTGGGTGGATTATTCCTACTGGTGCAAACAAAATTAAAGTGGGCGAGGGTTGTTTGGGCTTAGACGCAGCATCAGCTGGAATCTGGGAGTGGGAGAGGCCTGGGAGGGAAATAGTGGGCTCATCCCTCTTGGGTTACCACTTCCACAGGAGGACATAAAACTAAGATAGCGGCTGGGGTGGAATGGGGTGTGGGACAGACTGGATTACTGCTACACTTACTGGCAAACCAGGGTAGGGGGTGGGCCTGGTGGGGGTTATTGTGGGTCGCTCCAACCTAGGCTGCAGCTCCCGCTGGTTTATGTGAGGACCAAGTATGTGCTGGGCAGAACTAGGCTGGACTGCAACACCCATTGGTTCCAGTGGAAGTCGGGAGTGAAAACAGAACCAACCCAGCAATTGCAACCACCAGCTGATTGGAGCGATGGACGGTGCCTGGCCCTGTACTTGTTAGCACATACAAGAAGTTTCTTTGGAGATCTTCCTAATCTAAATGTTGGACTCAGAACCCTAACGAAGAAAAGAGAGAAGACAGAACAGGTCAACCAACCATCTAAGCTATGATGGACTATGTCAATCAGTGGATTTTTCAAAGCCCTCATAGTGCTTGGAGTGGCAAGACTGGCAGCGATTCATAACAATTGCAATATCAAAACCACCTGAGCAAGAACCTCAGAGCATGCCCTACATCTGGGACCTGGGGAGGGTGGGAAATTGGGTGGGCCTTCTCCCTTAATACCCCCCTTTAAACATGAAGGTAACAATATGGAAAAATACTAGTATTATCCACTTTCATGTAGCCCTTGAACCTTCTTACCCTAATTAACTATGTAAAGAATGTCAAAATAAAATTTTATATTAAAAAAAAAAAACGGTGCTAGCAGGATTTGCAAGTTAAAAATTCTGTGCAGGCCTACTTATTTATTTATTTTGTTTCTGGAGAAACCAAGGAGCTCTGTAAAGGAAGAGCTCGTTTCCCCTTTGTCAGTTTTGAGAATGGAATGGTTACATTACAGTCCAAGATGGTGGGATTACTTTGTTCCCATCTTGTAATCTGTGATTTCAATGCAAGACAGATGTTGCTCCTCTGTCCCCAAATGAGGGAACAACAACAACAAAAAGAGATAACCGAATTTCTTTTTGCTGGTTAAATCTACATGATTTGGAACTCCAGAAATAAGAAGTGTTAATGTGTCAATAAAGAAATGTGGAAATAGTGTTGAATTTCCTTGCGATTCACGTGGGAACAAACTACTTTGTGAAGGCAGGGCCACCCCAGGGGTGAGCCTCATCTCCCACAGGCTCAGATGTGCCTGAAGGTCCAACTCAGAAAAGCCCACCTGACTTGTCTTAAAGTTGATCCTGTTTTCACAAGTGCGTATTTCCAAGCACTGAGAACAGTGATTTTTTTTTTCTTGTTCACATTGCCAGCAAAAGCACTGAAACCTTACTGTTGTCCATTGTTTTCCCACATGGAAAATTACAGTGTTTTTGTAAGCCTTTAGCTGATCTGGAAGGCATTTAGAAAAAGTTTGGGCTTTTGCAAAGCATATTAATTTGTTGATAAATGACTGGGTTTTGTTTCTTGGGGAAAAGCACTTAGGATGCTGATGAATGATGTTGTTGTTCTCACATTCCATCATTTGCCTTAACCTAAGCTTTGGGAGGCACAGCCAGGGATGGACCTGCTATAGCTCTGGCAGGGCCTCCCTCTCCCGAGAACTGCTTCTCTGCGTGTCAGGAAGGCATGTCAGCCCACACACTTTAGCACTTTCTAGAGAACCTTGAGCTCTGTTGGAAGCATTTGAACAGACTCATGGTCCCTCCCATCCCCGATGCCTGTCTATGAATTGTGACTTTTAATTGCTTGTGTATTTTGTCTGGGTGCGCTTCTAGGAAGGCAAGTCTATGTTTGTGTTCCCCTCTGAAAGTGCTCTAGGCTAGCACATACCCTCCAGTCCATAGGTGTTTTACTGGCTAGGGTGTGGGGAGGATACTTGGTAGTGTGGCCTTGTCCTAAGTCTTCAGTGGGCCTGAGTAACTTGCTTACCCCCTGGGTTATGTAGGGGTCAGGCTGCTGTCAGGATCAAGGTATCCAGATGACAACTTGGGGACAGCGGGGGCCACACGTGGGTTTGAGATCTCTGCTCTTGGGGAGGCACCTCTGTTGTTGATGGGGTCTTTGTGCCCTTATCTGCCACTTCCTTTCTTTTGGGTGGGAGACACTCAGAATCCTTTTCCAAACCCAAACTTCAGTCTTATCCACTGGACAAATTCTGCTGTGCTCAGAAGTTATCCCGTCTGGTGTTTTTGTGCCTGCTGTGTCCTTGCACTGGTCTTCTCCCCTTTGCCCCAGCATCTAATACTCTTCCGGCTCTGTCCTTTGTAGGCACTTTGCTTCCCTACAAGTCTCTTGTCTCTTTTTCTTTTTCTTAATGTAAATCAAGAAGTAGAGGGGAAGGGAGTGGGGGTAGAGAAAAAGAGAGAGAGAGAGAGTGAGCCATCATGGTCAGGGCCCTCCTTTTATCCTCTAAATTATGCAAGTGCAAAGGACACTCAGTCTCAAGCTGTTTTCACTGTGTAGCACTCTAATAGTCCTAGCATGCTCAGAAGCTTACTTCACTCATTTTTAATACAATTTATATTACTATCACCCAAAATAGATATTGATGGATGCACGTGAGCAGATGACTGCAGGTGCATTAGGTCTGCTTGATCTATTTCAACATTTACTTGTGAGACTTGAGATACCCAATATACAGTGCTACCTCTCACCCATTACCTTCTCCCTAAAAAGTGACCTTATTCTCGATGTGATTTTTATTCGCTAGCAAGGCCAATGGCGGAATTAGAACTGACTGTGTACCTGCTGCCATCCAGGAGAAATGGGGAGCCGCGGGCCGTGGTCTGATGGTGTTGCCTTTTCCATGCAGGCTGGTTACATGTCTGGGATGCTGGTGCCCGTAGGCGTGGGGATAGCTGGAGCCTTGTTCATCTTGGGAGCACTCTACAGCATTAAGGTTATGAATCGCCGAAGGAGAAATGGCTTCAAAAGGCATAAAAGAAAGGTACGGAACCAGGACTAGAAAAGCTCATCAGTTTCTGAACACTCTGGACTCATCTAATTTGCTTAATAAAGCACGTGGGGGTTAATGGTGTGTGCACAGTGTTGAGGTGCCTGGCGGTGTGGAACAGCTGCAGCAGCTGCTGCCTGGCCCTGCTTTGTTAGTGTCTTTTACAGTGGAACAGTGTCTCAGCATTGTTCTGTAGCAGCAAGAGTTTAACGCTTTGTTATTTGTTTTTCTCTTAGCAGAGAGAATTCAACAGCATGCAAGACCGAGTGATGCTCTTAGCCGACAGCTCTGAAGATGAATTTTAAGTTAGACTGGGGTTTAATTGTGATATTCAATGATGTGATTATTTTGTTTGTATTTTGAGGCGAAAAGGGAAAAGGGAAAAACACCATCCTCCCACACCGCAGCTGTCAGGCCGTGAGTCCCGTGTCTGCTGGGTCGTGGATTTGTCTTATACTGAGCAGGAAAGTCATGCTGGATCCTAACTACACACGCAGAGTTTGGTTCATTCTGTAGTGAGCTTTGCACAGCCATGGGCTGCAGTTCATAATTATGCAGCATACTTATTGTCCAGTAGGAGTAGCTACATTAGGTAGAGTAAATATTTTGTATTTTTCCACAGTGTTGTTTGCCTTGGCTTGGATTACCTTCGTTAAGTTTAATGATTGTTGCCACCAGGGCATGCTTGACTTTGAAATAGAAATCTTAACAATGTATAACCTCTCATGATCCAATCCAGCCCCACCTGAAACCAGACTTGGAGGCCGTGGTACACACTGCATTTGCATAAAAAAAAGATCTCTCAATACACTGAGGGTATGCTAGATTTGTATGCATTGTGCATTATGGTACTTTAGTCTTCTGGTTTATGGTTTTTCATCTTCTGTTTTATTCTTAAAGTTGGCAAGAAGAAAAAAAAATGCACCAGAAACAATACATTGAATGGACTGTTCATTTTCCTATGTGATGGAGTTCAAAGTACCTGTCAACAGAGTCTTAACATATTTATCTTATTTTTGTGTGTGTGCTCTGGCTTTGCCAAGGGAAAAAATAAGGAAGACATGAAGAAGAAAGTGAGGGCAGGCAAGTTCCTGGCACATTTGTCTTTGCTATTGATCTGAGTTTCCGTGACCATCGCTGTGAATTCAGAGTGTTGCTTTCCATGTCTATGGCCTTGGCCATGGCAGGATCAGCTCACTGTTTCTCCTTATCTGACTTTAGTGGGAAACTAGACATTCTGTAGCAGAAGCAGGCATGGTGGCCAGAGCCCTGGCCCTCAGCAAAGTTTGTGGAAAATCAGTTTGTCTCAAGGTATCCGTCCCAGTATTGGGATGATGGACTCCACCACATTAGATCATGTCTCATTTCCTTTGAAATGTCATTCTCTGATGTAATTAAAATAGGGCATTTAAATATCCTTGCCGAATCTGGGAATTTTGGAACCACAGTGGGTTGAATTAGGGGGTACAGACTCGGCTCATTTCCAAGGAAGAATAATAGTTATTAATTATATTGTCACAGTGGATAACTTGCTCAATTTCTCTGGGCCTGTTCTACTCTGTTCAAGGCAAATTGCATCACTTTCAATGTGTTGCTTCTTCCATCTGACTAAATGGAACTAAAGCTGAGAAATCAAACAATCACTCCAGGTTCTACCTGGAGAGAATCAACATGATTTGTACTCAAAGTTTGCCTACGCACCCCATCTCCAGTGCTCCCCAGACTTTGAGGGGAATAGTGACATGTCACAGTTCTTTATATTCAAGACTCCAAGGTTGAGGCTGCTTGGTCAAGGAATATTTAATAGGAGTTTCTGCATTTGTTCAATGAATGATGCCTTAATAACTTTTCACTTGCTAATGCGAGTCCCTCCTTCCTCTATCTCAGCCATCTTTGAAGTGTCATCTCTAGGCAACTAAAAGAGGAACATTCCTAGAATCCATCTTTGAATGGTGAATGGCTCACAAGAACTTTGAATCAGGTGATTTTTTTTTTACTCTTTTTGCCAAGAGCCAGCCCTTAGAAGATGTGTGAAATTGACAAACAGAAATAAAAAGCTCTGAACAGTCCGGTAGAAGTGAGTGATGGGTAAATAGGCTTCAGGTCATACTATAAAAATGGAATCGAGAATCCAAGCATTCATCACTCGTTGTGATTTTAAGGGTGGAAGCATCCTAGTGTTGCATAAGTGATGTTTTCCATTTGTAAGAGTAGCCCCTTGCTGTAGGTGTTCCTCACGTTAGGGCTAAATGAGTGTGATATTGACAGGCTGTTTTTAGAGATGCATAATGGTCCATTTTAATTCATTCATGCGTGGATGATACTGATGGCATCAACAGCTCAGGCTGCTCAGTCTGTGGAGTCAGCTAGAACATGACCAACAGTGGAGGCCTTCAAACTGCAGTATGATAAAATAACTGATAAAAATGTGTGTTTTCATTTTCCAGAGGTCTGTAAGGATGACATGTATGTGAATTTAGGCCGAAGCATAAATGTATGTGGCCTTTTTAGAGGCATTTCGCTGCTTCAAGGAAAGTAGCTTATTTAGGTCACAGTAGGTTTCTGTAAAAACCTGTCTGAGCATGCAGAGAAAGAGACACGGTGTATTGTATGCTAACATATTCAGCCTCACAAAAGAAAGGCATCTTGTTATTGTAGCGACATAGATGAACTTAGAGGATAATATGCTAAGTGAAATAAAGTTATAGAAGGACAAATTCTGCACAGCCCCAATTGCAAGAGGTAGCTAAAACAGCCAAACTCATAGAAATACTCTACCAGTCGTAGCTGTCCCCATGGTCACTGAAGGAGGGAGAAATGGGAGGTGCCAGTTGGTGTAACGTTTCAATTATACAAGTGGAGTAAGTTCTAGAGATCTGCTCTACAACATAGTGCTTATTGTGAGCAGTACTGTGTCTTAACTAAATGTGGGTTGAGGGTAGGTCTCGTGTGAAGTGTTCTTAACAGCAAAGAGACGAGGAGAGCAGACCTTCATTGAAGGAGGCGCTATCTCCTGAATCACACCTGCTGTAGTGGAGGAAAGAAAATCAAAGGAAAGAAAAAAAAAGGATGGAAGCTGCTAGAAAAGGAATAGCAGACTGAGTTGGAGAACCTGGGATCCGCCCTTGCCCTCGATGGCCTTTCCTGTAACCAGAAGGTTACATCATTTTTCTTCTCAACTTCTTTGGTTTCTTTCTCTCCTGCAAGATGCTGCTTTTGGTAGCTTGCTGGCATAATTTGTAGGCAGTATTTGGAGCTAATTAGCATCCCAGAGGAGCAGATTCCCTTAGCAGTGCCTTAGCCTCAACTTCAACTCATAAACTGTTTCAAATGTAGCTTTCTAGAAATGCTCTCTTAAGCTACCTGTGTCTCCTGCGTAAGTCAAAAATGTAGGGAAAATTTTTGAAAGCAAAATTGTAGAATGCAATTAAAGTGGCTCCAGCATGGTTGATCAAATCTACTTCTTCATTTCATTATTTCTTCAAAAGCCAAGACTTAAGAATGAAATGTTAAGAGGTGAAAATAGCATAGCTGAACATGGAACATCCTATGCCCTAGTGCTTCCCTCATGTGTCTACAGTGAGGCTTTTTCTTGTGGAAGTCCAGAGGAAACATCTGATTAGGAATCACAGCCACAGCTTGAGAGCGGGGTCAGATGATGCATGGGCATGGCAATTTCTGTGGGTACAAATAATCAACATTGCTGCCAGCTGCCCAAAAAACCCGTCTTTGGACATAGCATGGATCAAGGTTCTAGCTCTGTAGCCTTTGGCCAATCAGGGTTTGTGATTGATCAGGCCACAGGAGCGTCTGAAGAGCAAGATTACAGCTGAGGAAAGCAGCTTTTTCAGGCTGTCTGAAGGTATGTTTACAGGGAAGGAAAACGGATAGAAGATAGCGAGGAAACTGTAATACAAGGTAGGTACAGACAGGGTTCTGACCATGAGAATTTGCTAAAGAGGGCCACGTTCCCAGGGGACTGATCCTTGGAGAAATGTTGCCGACCCCAGAGAGAAGAATGCAAGGGAGATAATTAGGTGAGAACCACAAAGCTACACAAGTCTATTTTCTTTCCGAAAACTGCCCTATGCTGAGTAGAATAAATATGGTTGAGAGAGGATTGGAGTCCAAGATGAACAAGGAGAGGAAAGCTGCTGGGTTACTTTAACTGTACTTAAGCTCAGCTAAATATCTTCCTTAATTATCAGTTAGTTCATACGACTGAATATAAACTTTTAGAAATGGGAAACAATTTGAGAATAAAATAATGTCGTTGAATTAATAGAAGTCTTCTGTCTTCACATTTGGCCCCCATTGCATAGTCATGTACCTTCTTTCTGAGCTAACTATTAGAATGATAAACTGCGAATGGACAGAGGAAAGACATTTAATTATGTTACTCTGGTAATTATAAACTTGGGCAGTCAGTGTAGCTGGAAACAGAAGCACGAGGCTTAATTTCTGTATGCAGAAAAAAAGCTGTATTTACTTCATAAGCCACTGTTGTTTAAATGCATTGGGAATATCCTGTTTGTGGTAACAGATGTATCTCACTTCCTAGGAATTAATAGACATTTCTGTTGTGTGAATATGGGTTAAAGAGAGAGGAAAGAAGGAAGACAGGGAAGGAGGAAGAAAGGAAGACCAAAGTTTCCTCATGGAAATAGCAATAGAAGCAGAACGGAATAAGCCACCTGCTCCCTTGTTCTATCTAGTTTGCTCATAAAAGCCCAAAAGAAAAAAAAAATTAAGTAAAAGCATCTCAAATCTTCCATGTAATAGGGCATAGATCCTGCGTTTTCTCCTCCAAAAGCATCAAGAACATTAGTGACGGTAACCACTAACTGGTAACATGGAGTGTGGATTCTCACCTGAGAGTCGCAGCCTACGGTCTGAAGTTCAAGAGTGATATTGCTGAGAAGCCTAAGCTGTTGTGGGCTGAGGATAGAGCATCTGAGGATGAATAGACACAGCAAACCTCTCTCTAGGGGGGAACTCGGCCTTCTCCAAGTTCGTAGCTGCAGGAGAGGGACAGTGCGAGTGGAAGGAGTGCTCGCTTGGGCTATCTCATCACCTTCAAGGTGGGCAGATCACTGACTTTGGTCTCAAAGTTTAGGAAACTGAGGTTTTTATTAACCAGTGCTACTTAGCAGTGAAAGGAAGAAGGCCAACAACATTAGAAATATTTCTCAAATTTCACGTCTCAGAGCACTCTGTAGAGTTCAGTTTCAGGCTTCTTAATGACTGCTCAGACTAAAATACACCTGCAAGGAGGGAAGCAGTACTTGGATGTAAAAACCCCATT